GTCGAGATGCTTTCCCCCGGCAGGACCGTCTCTTCCCGGCTACTGAGGCCGGCCTCGTGGATCCCTTTCCGGATGGGCTCTGACGGGAGAGCCGCCAGCACTCAGAGAGGTAACAACCAATAAGTCTTTATACATTTAATTTAAGCACAGAGCAGCTAGCACGAAGCTAATCCCAAAGTGACGCAGTTCAGTATAGAGACAGGAAACTTCTTAACTTCTTCAAGTTGTGTCGTGAAACTTGATTACATCTTTAAAGACACCATAAAATATCTGAATATATAAATATGTCGATAAGCTCTTTACTTGACTTACAGATTTAATCAACATCATTTATTATGTAAAGTTTTTAATTTTTGTCGTTCTTTAAATTTTCTAATATATTACCTGGATTTAATGTGATAACTGTGAGGGATTTTGTCACTTTAAATTCTTTTTTCTTTTAATAAAAATAATAATAGTTTAATAATGTATTATTTGGACATTTGGTTGAAATTGATAGAGATGTTTGATATATGTGAAACCTTGCATCATTATTACTCCAGGCCCATTTTCATTCAGGATCATTAAAGTATTCATCCATCACTCCCTCTCCTGTGATATTGCTTAAAAGGTTTTGTTAAACTATAAACCATAGTTTTCATTGTATCACAAATGTTCAAAAACAGGGCACTAACAGAGTAAAAGAAGAGTAATAAATGGATACTGTAACACACAGCATCGTAGCTCTACATTTGGACAATCATGTTTCTCCACCTAAGTCGGTAAAATTTGGAACTCATAACCACCTGAAATCAAATTAATCCCAGAATCAAAATCTACAATGGAAAAACAAAGGTTAAATACTGACTAAAAGTGAACCAGGCTGTGCCCATTTTTAAATTGTTGTATCTTAAAATTGTAGTTTGCATTGGTTTATGGAATTGTTGTATTGTGAAATTGTGGTATATGTATTTAAATGTGTGTGTGGTGTGTATAGATGTATTAATTTTATTTTGTAATATGTAGTCGAATGTTGTACATTTTATAAACTCTTCACACAAAGGCACAGCAGATAGACACAAGCTGAGTTAATTCTAACATCCACTCTTTCATTTTGGTTTATCGTACTTCATTTTGTTATTGAAATATTGCACAAAGTAATCACACATTGTACACATTTTTAAAATATCACGCAGGCCTAATAAGTACATAACAAACACTCACTGCATTTATCTGTATTATGTTATATCGCAATATTTATATCAGAAACCAAATATATTGCAATCTCATTTTATTCCAATATTGTGCAGACTTAATATTTGCATATTTTTAAACTCTAGGTTATCAAATTTGGCTTCAGAAAAGAGAACTCTATGATCCTCTTTAGGTCGTGTTTCGAAGCACAAAAGAAGACTTTAGTTGAAGTGAAGTCTTACCATCCAAGGATGTGCATTTTGTTTGATCAAAAGTTTGATGACAGTTAATGTCCGCTGATACAAAGCTCAGTTAACCAACCTGGACTCTACTAGTGGATGAATGACTCAGCAAAATGAACGACCTGCCTGTGACCTTGAATCACAGTCACACAATGAGTCAGCGTCACACAATGAGTCAGCGTCACACAGACCTAATGGAGTTAAACAAGCTGACTGTCTGTTGTTGTTTTTTGCTGCAGAGTTGATAAAGAAACAGGAACTGGAGAAAGATGAGCCCGCCCTCTTTACATGGACTTCCAGGCCACCACACCCATGGTAGCTAACTTTTGTCAACCACGTTGTCATGGTTACAGACTTCACCAGCTGATGTCCGAGTCAAAGAGAGCTATTTACGCTCATTACACTCATTTGCGCTTTGAGTGAAACGTGTGTGTTTGTTTAGGACCCCCGGGTGTTGGACGCCATGTTACCTTACCAGGTGAATTATTACGGTAACCCTCACTCCAGGACACACGCCTATGGCTGGGAGAGCGAGACTGCCATGGAGACAGCCAGGAAGGTAGAGACGTTCAGCTTGTTCACATACCATGAGAGAGAGAAATGTAGGTTTGATAATAAGTCTCAACTTGGGGGCGCTAGCTCAGTTGGTAGAGCAGTCTCCCATAAACAGAGGCTAAATGAAGGCAAACCCACCCAACCCACTAAAAAGAATAATTCTCACCCTATTTTTATAAGCTATATGTAGCTCCATTAGCTGACACATCTGTAGTTACATCTGGAAAATATGAACAATGTTAACCTGTAGATATCTACCTGAGTATGTTTACTCGGTAATCATTTTATTAATCCGATTAAAGAGAGCGAGACACTGACTCTGTATTATCTCCTCTCTCTCTCTGTCTGTCTGTCTCTCTCTCTCTCTCTCTCTCTCTCTGAGCAGCAGGTCGCTGATTTGATTGGAGCAGATCCCAGAGAGATCATCTTCACCAGCGGAGCCACCGAGTCCAACAACATGGCCATCAAGGTCATCATTTACTTCTCATAATCATGATCTTCTCTAAAATCGTTTCCACTTTGCTTTATCACATCTTCTCTCACACTTATTCTTGAAGAGTTGTGTTTCTTAAATTCTTAATTAGTTTTTTTTTTTAATGTTTCAGTTCACATTGTCGACAGAAAACTGTAAAAAGTGTAAAAAGAAACTCATGTTGTGTCAGTCATGTTTTTGCACACTGACTCTGAAACTTTTCGGGTTTGGAGTATACACTTGTCACACTGGAAATAAATCTGTGTGTAAATATTTAGTTCTAGGACCTTAGAGATGTGACATCTAGCTGAGATGCTAGCCTAGTATGCTAACACTTTGTTATTCATGTGCTTGTCTCTAGTTTCTCTGTGCTGCTCTGTGTACTCTCTGCTTGGTATTTTGATCGCGCTTGTACAACCTTTAGTTCAACTAAAAAAATATGTTTTAAGAGAGAAAAATAAAGTTTGCTTAGCTTGAGAATACCTGTGGCTTGTTTGCTTAGCTTGATGACGAACAAAATAAACAAGTTCAAAGTTTATTCAAGAGACAGATTTAAAAAAAAAAAAAAAGAGTCAAATCCTGTAACAGGAAGTAGTTGCTATTTTCTGGGGCGGTTTATATTCTGACAGAGGAGGTTAAATAAGACTGGATCAAGACAAAAGATGAGGGTCTCCACTGTCGTCTCGTTTTGCTGTTCTGTCATTTGTCTCGATTTAAGTGTCACAGATCACCTTAGTTGAACTCACTCTGAAAAAAAAAACTGGCCTGGATTAAATTAGCTCATGTCAGCAAATCTCCTGATTGCAGCCGATTTCACTGTTCACTGTTTTGACTGCTGGTGTGTCCATGCATTAAGAGAGAATAATTACTGATTACTGTCAGAGGGTAGGAAACATGCAGATTCATTGAGTGAGAAACTTTTCTTGTGATATCAGTTGTGACTCGTCTGTCCCCTTTTCTATTACAGGGCGTGGCCCGGTTTCTATCAGACCAAGAACGTCACGTGATCACCACGCAGACTGAACATAAATGTGTTTTGGACTCGTGCAGAGTTCTGGAGTCCGAAGGATTCAGCATCACCTACCTGCCGGTCCAGCCGAATGGACTGGTGGACTTGGAGGTACACAGACGCTTACACACAGAGAGACAAAGCAAAGTACAGAGAACATACAGGACATTCATACGGCATGCAGAAGTCATATTAAATATATCAAAAACACTGTTTCGTCTGTGTTTGTTCAGCTGCTGGAGGCCTCCATCCGTCCGGACACTTCTCTGCTGTCTGTGATGACCATCAACAACGAGATCGGAGTCCAACAGCCCATCGACGAGATCGGTAACAGTCACATTAGATATCTTAAAAGACACTTAAAGTATGCAGTGTGTCACCCATGTGATATTAAATAAGAATAAAGCAGATTAACCCGTTCTATTCTCGTCCACCAGTAGGATTTGTCGTTCCAAAAATGTCTTCCTCCACACTGATGCCGCTCAGGCTGTCGGCAAGTACCCATCAACGTCCACGACTGGAAGGTTGATCTGATGTCTATCAGCGGTCACAAGATCTACGGACCTAAAGGTTAGCTTTACTGAGGAAATATTCTTTACTGTTTGATCGTAACCCCTGATAAGGCAGGTCATTTATTCAGCAAGTTCACACAAGTTCAACTTCAAATTGCCCGCTAAGCTTTTTAAGATCCCCTCCCCGCTTTATGTGCTTTAATAAAACAGCAGAAAATGAATCTGATGTTTCTGAAGGACGGTTAGATTTGACTGATTTATAAAATGATTTTCTTTGTTTTGTCGGGAAGCCGAAGGTTTGAAGAGTCTTTGAAATAAAGGCGTTATGAATTTTGCTTTGGAAAAATTCAAATTTTCAAATGTGTGCAGGTGTGGGTGCTTTGTACGTGCGTCGCCGGCTCGGTGCGTATGGAGCCGCTGCAGAACGGGGTGGGCAGGAGAGGGGGCTGCGGTCTGGCACTGTCCCACCCCACTGGCTGTCGGGCTGGGAGCCGCCTGCAGCATCGCCGAGCAAGAGATGGCGGTAAAGAAACGCAACAATCGTACATCCTGAGTCTCAAATAATGTACAAAAATAACAATTTACAAACGCAGGTTACTACACTGACTCAACAAACCATTGTAAACATCCTGGGAGTAATATATGACTCTTTCTTGTCCCTGTGTGCAGTATGATCATCACAGAGTGACCACTCTGGCTAATCGTCTGATCCAGAAGGTCATGTCAGAACTCCCCGATGTCATCTTGAATGGAGATCCAGAACGAGGCTACCCTGGTACACAAACACACAAACGAACACACACAGCATCCTGAAACTCTTGGACATGAACACACCGTTGGCTCCTACGATTTCAAGTGAAAGCCCTTGAACTTCATGATAGAGGTTTAAGTCTTTATATCTAGATTTATTAACTGGCTGTGTCCGTCTTTTTAAGGCTGTGTCAACCTATCGTTCGCTTACGTGGAGGGAGAGAGTCTGCTGATGGCGCTGAAGGATATCGCTCTGTCATCGGGGAGTCAGACACACTCTTGTTACTTAAACTGAAAAAAAAGTAAACAGGGCAGAAGCTTCACTTGGATCAGTAGTTGTACACATTACTTTAACAGGAATTAATTGTAAACAGGCTGAATTTTTGTATCATTCATGTGGATGCATGTGACCTTTGCACGATCACAGTCCTGTCCCTGTTATTCAACATCATTCCAGAGACTGACCTGCGGTAACTGAAGGACAAAGTTGTGCACATTTCATTATTTAAAGTATTTGAAAAATGTGATTTGTGAGGAAGGAAATACATTCATGTGTTTGTTAGACCTCAAGGTTAAACACAGGCTGTGTGGCTGTTAATCAACTCTATGTATTCAAGTTAACTCGAAACTGTTTAAACTTATATTTGATGAAAAATTAACATTTGTGTGTGTGTGTGTGTGTGTGTGTGTGTGCTCACAGTGCTTGTACGTCAGCATCTCTGGAGCCATCATACGTCCTCAGAGCCATCGGAGCAGATGAGGACCTGGCTCATTCTTCCATCAGGTGAGACCGCTTTTCTTTCTGACTTAAATTAAGTCGCTGTGGCTCAGTGTTAGAGGTGGTCACCTCTCAGTCAGATGTTGGGCGGTTCAATCCAGACCGCCAGCTTGGAGGACTATATCCTCTGTTCTTGTGGCGCAACCAAAACCCCTAGGCCATCTGCATCCCAGAAGCAGGATTGTTATCATGATTATGTTTTAAAAATAGCTAAAATGCGGGAAAAAAAGACTGAAACGTCCTTCCTCCGTCCCGCTGCTCTCTGCCTCCTTTTTGTTCAGTGGTTTGACTCAAGTTGAATACCATGTACTGTAGATTAATGCTCGCCCGTGTTTGTGTGTGTTAGGTTTGGTATTGGCAGATTCACCACAGAAGAAGAGGTGGACTACACGGCAGAGAAATGCATCCACCAGGTCCGCAGACTCCGAGAGATGAGGTGAGAGCTAGCTGGGCTGATAACGTTGATCTCATGTTGGCAGCCATTATTATTATTGAATGGTGAAACCGAACTCGTCAGTTCTGAATGATGCACAGGTACCTGACACACACTCTCTCTCTCTCTCTGTCTGTCTGTCTGTCTGTCTGTCTGTCTGTCTGTCTGTCTGTCTGTCTCTCTCTGTCTGTCTGTCTGTCTGTCTGTCTGTCTCTCTCTCTCTCTCTCTCTCTCTCTCTGTCTGTCTGTCTGTCTGTCTGTCTGTCTGTCTGTCTGCCTCAGTCCTCTGTGGGAGATGGTTCAGGACGGCATCGACCTGAAGAGCATCAAGTGGACTCAGCACTAGTCCCCTCCCACTTCCTGGTTACTTCCTGGCTGGCAACTACAACGATGACGACCATTATTCTCAGAAAACAAAAATCTGGGAAATGGACCAGCTTTCCCTTCCTGTACACAAACACGCACAAACTTCCTGTCCGACTTGAAGTCTGTTTGTATCTGTCGCTCTGTGTCTCTGTAGGCGCTCCTCCAGCTGCTTTCTCAGGAGATGTGGCTCAGAGAGTTGACTCGAACATTGCAACCTCTGTGTGTTGTCTGTTTGATCTGTTGCACGTTTTCAGCTCGTGTGGGCCAACATGTTGCTTCCGTGTCGAGCCGTCAAGAGGCTGCGACACCTCAGTCCTGTATCACAAAGTCAGGTCAGCTTAGGCTGGCTCTCGTTAATGGTTTCTTGGAGAATGTCAGCCATATCTGGTTTACTGATCAAGCTACGTCGTTTTCTTTTTTCAAAGATGGCGGTTGTCTGTGCTAAATCGACTCCTGCACGATCAATCTCAGTAATTACTTAACTAAAGGTTCCTCCAAACAGCTCCCAGAGAACTTTGCTTGTTGCCAACTCGAGAAAAAGCTAGCTGGGTCATTTATGGAGCTGGAGCTATTTAATGTCTCAAAACGTTTCTGTTCCTCTTTATTTCATGTCTGTTTTCGGCACGTTTGTCCCTCATCTGATCTTCTGAAGGCAACTTGCTCTAGTGCAGGTCAGCCCTACACTGCAAAAACTCCAATCTTAACACGTGTATTTGTCTAAAATATGTCATTAAACTTAATATTTATTTGTTAAGTGCTTTGATATAAGATGTTCTTACTAATTTAGATAGAGCGTCTCATTTCAAGACGCTTAAGTCAGTTTTTGCTTGTTGCATTGGAAGATATCTTATACTTCTAACAAGCAGCTCAGGCCGTATTCTGGGTTTTGTGTCCTGAAATAAGATGTTTATCTGGACCTGTCAGGTGAAAGTGGCTTTTATTAAGTTTAGTGAGATACTTTTGATTAGAAGTTGGAGACCCAGAGCTCGCTGGAGGGATTATACTGTATATCCATTCTGGCCTGGGACCGCCTTGGGATCCCCCAGGAGGAGCTGGAAAAACATTGCTGGGGAGAGGGAAGTCTGGGGCAACTTGTTTAGCCTGCTGCCACCACGACCCGGCTCTGGATACACTTCAAATCCACTTGCTAAGATTTGAGTTGTTGCAGTGCACAGCTTTCATGACACAAGAGAGCCTTGGTTTTTTTCAACACAAATACAGCTGCCGAAACTGCAAAACCTGCTTTGTGATACAGCCTCTTTTTTATTTTATCTCTAATGAACCTTTATGTGTCCAGGTTAGTCCCACTGAGATCTGTTTCAAGCGGATATGGTCAAGAATAGCAACAACAACACAGTTTCAACGATAAAAACACTCAAACTCACACAGTACACATAATAATGAGAAAAGCATCGGCTCAAAGAGGCTCTTAAAAGATAATCGAGAGTTCCAGTGAGGTGGAAACAATTTGGAAGAATGGGCAATGTTATAATGGGCGAGACGTGGGATGGCAACTGAAGGCAGCAGACCTCAAACGGTCGATTTGATGATTCATTTATAATTCTGTGAGTCCGACCTTTTCTCCTGCTGAGTCATAGATTCTCTCCTGCTCTGTTCACAGGTGATCCAAAGCCCTTCTCTGTCTCTCACTCGCTGCTTTTCTTTGCACATCAGTGTTCAATAATCTCTAGCATCATGTCGGTGTATCAGCAGCACTGTGTTACCTGCCGCGTTTTAATTATATTGTTAAACTCTGGAACACTCTACAAGACTGTTGAACCCAACAGATGATTTTTCATGATGGTGTAGAGAAATAAAAAAACAGCTAATGGGAGGATTTTTTTAAAGTCTTGTACTCTGTTCCTGAATATAGTCAGCTGAGCCTCGAACTGTCATATTTATTAAAATCCTGCATCTGTCTTCTACTGTTACTCTTATCTTACTGATTTTATCCAATAAAGTTCTGCTTCATGGTTATGCCAATAAAGTTTTGTTATATTTCTGATCTTTTTAAGTGTTCTGGGAGAGTTGCATTTCGTTGCAACATGTTCCATGCAGCAGTATTTATAGCCTTAGCTAATTAAAGTGATGGTGATGGTGTCATAGTGACATGCTCAACAGCTTATAGGGCTGATTTAGTGCAGGAAAAATATTT